GTTTCCTTAGATTATTAAAGTTTTGCCATCCCCACCTTCCAAAYGCTTTTCTCCTGCACACATAAGTGCACATGCCGAGATGCTAGACACAGATCACTTCAACGGGTAAGAAATCATTTCTCTTTGTGCAGCATAGCAAGAAATTCGCACTAAATTTAATTGCTGCAACTTCCACATGGGCAAGAACCRTGATCAGGAAACTGCCCATCTCGTGGCCTAAGGGTGTCAGCCCGAGGGTRTCTGAGGAGCAAAAACTCTTGGAAGCCACTTGCAAGCTCCCAAGGGGCACGGGAGAATGGGAAGGGCCAGAATGGCTTTAGAGGGCAAACCTTGGATGATAGGACTAGCTTAGCACAGCAGGGGAGAGCAATGGATGTTGTTTGTTTCAGTTTTAGCCAGGCCTTCAGCACAGTGCCCTTAAATACAAACTGGTGAAGTATGGAGGGGATAAACGGGCCACAAGGTAGGTGGGTGATTACTGGGCTGGTGGGCACAAAGGGTCCAGCTGGTGGCTGGTTACTGGTGCAGTTCCTCAGGCAATGGTATGGGGGCCAAAACTATTAATGTGTTTGTTAATGACTGTGACAGAGTGGGCTCTCACCAAGTACCAAGTTACCGTCTGACACCGTTGTGGGGAGGAGAGGTGTCTGATATTATGGAAGGTAAAACGGCTGTTCGGGAGAGGTGTTTGACGTTATAGAGGGTAAAACGGCTGTTGGGAGGGATTTGGCAGACGAGTGCAGCAGGGCCCTGAGAAGCCGCTGGCGTCTGCAGGCAGCAGCAGGCAGGATTTACTGGCTCGGGTTCTCCCCACTGTCCRAGGCCGGCCTGAGCAGCCGCTGCCTGGTGGTTTCTCCACCACACGCTATTGTAAGGCGACGGCCTTAGCTCTGTTAACATCAGTGGTCACATCAATTACAGAGGCTGCAAAGGAGATTCATCCTGGGGTGGCCCGTTGCCAAGGCTGGTATGTTTTCCCATGAGAGTTTTTCCCCTTGCTTGCTTTATTAAAGTGAGGACATGAAGCCKGTAAAGAGACTCTCAAGAGCTAGAGCCAGACAGAATGAAAATTGACAGTGAAAATTTCATCTGGTCTTTTTATGTATCTGCAGTGTAATATAGACTTATTTTTTTCCCCAGGTCTTGTCCCTCTTGGAAAGAACCAGGACTGATTTGTCCTGCTTTATATATACAAAAAAAAAAAAAAAAAAGGTGTGCCAAWAAWATYTTTTTTTTTTTTTTTTTTTTTGAATTTGAAGATATTAGAAAGGAAAAGGACTAGTTCCACACTCCAAACAGTTTTAAGTTATCATGAATTTGTTTTCCACAGATGCTGAGCATGGCACTAAATCCTCTTAGGGAGAGATGGTACATCTGCATTCCTCACTTGCTGGCTGCTCACTTTAATATATTTAGAATCTGATATCTAGAACAATATTGAGAATGGGGAAGTTAACTGTGAACCTAATTGAACATAATTGTGGCTTGAATGTTTGATGCAACTTTGGGTGTCTTGCGTGGAACCTTCTGAGTTCATAGAAGCACTTCAATTTTGCTTTGGAAAAGTGTTTTTCATTTTCCCACACTTGCTAAAGGAGTTAGAACCTTCTTTCCAGTAAGCACCTTAATGTGTCCATAAATATTACAGTCTGTCGAGTTGTGGGAAAGTACAGTCATTGGGAGTACATAATAAGATCTAGTGTTCATCTTGAAATATTAAATAATACCCAACTTCATTCAGCATGATCCCCATTTATCCATTAAAGCGATTGCCCTAGGTGATAGGAAATATGGAAATTAAAGCCTGTAAACAAGATCCAGTAAGGAATGCAGGCCTGTGAGTCCCAAGCAGACGATCCTGGAAACAACCCACGCTGTTGTTGCAGTGGCGCTTCGTAGTTTTGCCCGGGGTGCTGCCCCAGCAGCTCTGCGGAGCTCTGTGGGGCCGCTCTGGGCGCAGGGTGGACGCAGGGGGCCGCTCGGCGCTGGCTCCGCGCGGCCACCGGCCCCTCCTGCAGCCCGGGAGGGCCCACGCGGCCCGGCTCGCACGCGCAGCTCCCGCGCGGCACCGCGCGCGCCACGACCTACAGCAAGGGGCTTCCTGTAGAAAGCCACGGCCCCTGCGTGTGCCTTTCACGGCACAGCCTTTTGTGGTACGTTCAACTGCTTCCTTAGTTAAGAGATGTGCGTTCAAATCCGGATTTCCCTGTCACACAGAGTGTCCTGCACCGCTCCAAATATTCTGAGTCAGATCACATTACACCTTTTGTTCACTGTGCAAAACCCCAACAAAACATCAGGCCAGAAAATAAATAAATAAACAAACAAGAAAAAAAAATCTAGACTCTTTAGCCTAGTGATTAAGGCATGTAGCTGTGGAGACAAGCCTGGTAACAACCTATTCTCTGAAGGTTGTTTCTGCTTTACTGCGTAACATAGCCAGGAATCCAGTATTCCTTCAAGCAGTGTCCTAGCTCCTAGCTATTCCTTCTCTTTGGTGCAGAATGTCTTGTGACCTATTCCGCATACAGCCATAGCTTAAATTGCGAGAATGAGGAATCTCCTCTCCCATGAACAACTTACAGGCTTGTGGCTAGATTGTTCCATGGAAAAGAGAGGCCCATGGAAAAGACTGATGTGATTCTGGATCTCTGGATGCTGGAAAATCATTTGAACTCATGTCTTGTGCGCCATATGTGAATGCTTTTAACTTGCAAACTACCAGTTAAGAAACCTATTGCCCTAACTTTGCTGCACAGCTAGTTCTGCTAGACAGTGTCTGGGAGCRCCTACCAGACATGTGCTGCAAGCTGGACAGCTCGAGGGTGTCCAGTTTGCAGGGCTGGTAAGATTCGGACAGGATCAAAGCTCCTGTAGCAGCTGTCTCAAGGCTGAGCTGGTTACAGGTGCTACAAGACAGAGGCCTTTGGGACACAGCCCCATTAGCCACACAGCACCACGAAGGGCTGGTGCATCCAGCCCTGCACAGGGCAGAACAAGGAGAACACAGTTGTTCACAGCTCTCAGTCCAGCTCTGTACGCGCTAACTGGCCGCTCTGGAGAACTGAACAGAGTGTCTGCTGCTGGAAAGCAGCTATGCTGCGTCTGAGGCTAAAATTAGTATTCCCACTCACATCGCCTTGTGCTGTTCAYGTGCATTAGCCTCGGTCAGGAATTCCTAGAGCTGAAATATTGCTTACAGAAATGTTGCTAACTGATTCTTATGACATKGCTGAATTATTGTCCTTTCAACTTAATCATAAAATTGTTTAAAATGATAAAAGATCCCAGGGCTCTGTTGTACTACGTCTCCAAAAAGGTTTTCATTTACTGCAGCTTGCAGGAAGCTTTCCTCCAGAATTCCTTAGTGCTGACATGGAATAAATGCTTTCATTCATTACYGACTCTCTAGTGCAGAACGTACTTGTGTGTTTACACAAAGGAAAGGGTTTTTGTCTGCTTGTTTTTTGATTTCAGTTTTTAACCAGGGCAGCTTCTCCCAAAAGACAAAGTCAGTTTCCTGGCAACACCACATTAGTTGTAAAAAAGGAATATCCTGGTTAAAGTCTAGTTATTTATAAAGCATTCATACCTAAGGTAAGCCAAAGACACAGGGATCCACAGCATTTCTATTAAGAAATTAAATTAATACTAAACACACACTCATTAGTTGGGCCTTCTACTATTTTATAATTGTGTCTTATTAGTGATGTTGTTTTCATGGGATCCATGATGTGTTTCTAGCATGTTTTTATTGTCCCTCCTGTGCCCTAGGAAGTTTTTGTATTATTGTGTATAATTATTTTGTTCCTGCGACTGCAGAAAGAAAAGCCAATGCATAGCATTAGGAGGCTGCCTTACATTTTGCTAGGAGAAAGAATGTGGGKTTTTTTTTTTCTGTGTATAATCACTGAGCTTTGCAAAATCATGCTGCACATCAGTCTGGCAAGACCACAGAGACAGTATTGCAAGCTGAAAGCAGAAATAGCTCAGAATTCCCTAATATCTCTAATAATGGCACTGGTTAGGATCTGTACTCGTGATGTTTGGAGAAATACTTTCAATCTCCCTAACATTTGAGCTAGCTGGTTGGCAGGTTGGCCTGAATAGCATTATTTGTATTAGCACCTCCTGTGGAGAGTAAAAAGTTCCCCTTCCACTGACCATCAGGTGACAAGTAATTTGTTTTTCTATTCTCCTTAACACAGTCTGACACATTTCCTCTTTCGGTAGCGAAATTTATAAATAGTTTTACAGGATTATGAGGCTTGAGTTAGGATCTGAAGTAACAGTAATTGGCAATATGTTGTTCTAAGATTATGCCTAGTGAAGGTGGAAAAAATAAGCAAGCTCTGCTTAAAATAAACAAAGTTACAGAAAATCTCCAGTCAACATATTCCAAGCTAAATCCTCCAAATCTTAATTACCATGGAAACTGCTTATCCTTAAGGCTCCAAGGATTGTTATTTTCCCTTGGCAAAAATGGGAGTGGAGCCAAAAATACATAGGACTATGCATAATGGTCACTTTGATCTTACATTTACCTCTCCACTAATTAGAAATAATCTCAGTGAAGCAAGCTGAGTTACACAGTTAAATTAGCATGGTGAAGTCAGCACGGGAAAAGGTGRATTTGAGACGTTTTCTACTTCAGGTTGTTTCTATGGTCTTTCACCATTCTCTTCACGCGTTATTGCGTTTCTTTTTCCCCTCTGCAGTGAGGGAACCTGGGCTCACGGCGCACGACCAGTACCTACGCCCGGCTGGTGCAGGCATAGGGCAGCGGGCAACTGCCACACGCGCCCTGACAGCGAGCGACCGTTGGCCGCGTCGGCGCCCGCCCCGCCCCGCCCCGCCCCGCCCTCCCAACGGCTACCCGGGAGCGCCGTCTGCGCCTGCGCGCGCCGCGCTGTGCCCCCCCCCGGGCTCCTGCCTGCCGGTCTGCGCAGGCGCAGAGCGGCAGGGCTGGGGGTGAGGGGTGACTTCCTGTGCGGGGTGGCATGGCGGCCGGCGGCGATGGCGCGGGTGGCGGCGGGGCYCCGGCTGCCGCCGCTGCCGCTGAGCGGGTGCTCTTCCCGCCCACCTTCAGCGTGTCCGAGATCAAGAACAAGCAGCGGCGCCACTTCATGTTCCAGCGCTGGAAGCAGCAGCAGCGCAAGGTGCGGCGGCGGCGGGGCGGGCGGCGGGGCAGGCCGGGCTCGCGGCTAACGGCGCCTCGTTGTGCCCACAGGAGAAGCTGGCGAACAGGAAGAAGCGCCGGAAGGAGCGAGAGGCCCTCGGGGACCAGGTGAGCGCCCCGGCCGCGGCTTTGTCCCGGTGCTCACCATCCCACTCTCTCTATTCTGGTGGTAAGAGCAGGGGCTGCTGTGGGGCCGCGTGCTCTGAGCCGCTCCCCGGTAGCCCCAGCTACCGGGCCCGAGCACCTCCTAGCCAGGCCTGGCATCTCCCCATCCGGTAGGGAAAAACGGCTCGTGGGGAGCCTCTTTGGAAGATAAAGCTCCTGGCCTTGCCCTAGTCACGAGCAAGGGTTTTCCCTCTCCTTTCCCCGAGCAGCTTCAAGTGTGTGCTGACAATACCTGTTGGATAAGTTGTTGATTCCTGTGTTGCTACAATATCACAAGGGCATACTTTATCAGCATGATAGCTATTATGTGGTGCTTGTTGTGGAATTGTAGATGTTGTGGGCAAAATATGCTGCAGAAGGGAGTAGGTTTTTTCCCCCTTCTTGCACAGATATCAAGGCTCCATTTTTTAATGACTTTTCTTCATTAGATTGAAACTAAGCAATTTCACTGCCCTAGCAATGTTTTGCCTTCATAGGATGCTCTCTGATGTTCCATTATCCACACACATTCTTAACCAAGRTGATGTTGTTGTTGAAGCTTATATGAGATGTTGTACAAACATTGCTTATCATATGCTTAAAAATAACATGAATATATTGTGTTAAAAAACTATATTTTAGGCACCTTCAAAACCCGTACCGAAGACAATTGAAAATCAGAGAGTATATGATGAAACAACTGTAGATCCCAATGACGAAGAGGTAACTTTAGCCTCTGTTTTTTATCTACAAATGTGATTTAAAATGGATTGATGAAATTTAATGTTCTTTACACTCCTATTAAGGTGTTAGGGGATTATTTTTTGCATGTGATGGGTCTCTTAGAAGGTAATGCTATTCTTTATTGTCTGCCTTAAATACTTGCTCTTTGTGTTTTTGTGGTTGGTAGCAAAACATGTCTACCATTTTTCACTACGTTAGAAAATGATTTTTTTAAAAAAAGCATGCCTTGGTGTAACTAATTATAGGATAGTTCTTTGTGAATTGATTTTTTTTTTTTTTTTCCCCCATCAAGATTCAGATCAGATTAAACAATTGCTCCTTAATTATTCAGTATTAATATGTGGTAGAGTAACAAGATTTCTCTACTTCCAGGTTGCTTTTGATGAATCAACTGATGAATTTGCRCCATATTTCAACAGACAGACGATTCCCAAGATTCTTATAACAACATCAGATAGACCTCGTGGGGTATGTAGGCTTTGTTTAGGGAATGGTTATAGGATATCCAAGATCCATACTGTAATTAGTAGATTCAGTTGTGTTGTAGGAAGAATTTTAAAATACTTTGTTGTTTCCTCTACAGGCAAAGTCATAGAGGCAAAGTCAGCTGGTTGAGCAAGAGATATATTAATTCTAAGTCGCTAGTCAATTAGTTTAATACCATATTGTTTGATCATGATAGACATACTTTGGGTTCTAGCAGTGTTCAAGATGGTCATAATTTACCTGAGAGGATTAAATTACTTTTCAATTAYAGTAAGATTTACAAGCCCATAATCACTTTATGCAATCTTAAACTGAAATACTAACAAACTGAAAATAATTGCTTCTCTGTGATTTTTTTTAATAACTTTTTTGGTAAATAACCTGTAATTTTTCTTTAGCTTTGTTCTTTCTTTAAAGTCATGTATTTGTGCCTTTTTGCATTAGTTGGGGACGTTTTTGACAGTTTGTGTAAAATATAAAAAGTGTTTTTAAGAATAGGAAAATGGCAACCTAAGAGAGTATCCCGAGTGATATTTCTATTGTATTTTGAAATGTTAGCAATTTTTTTTAAATTAGTGTCCTTAATAATGATTTATGGAGGGGTTACTTTGGGATTTTTTTTCTACTTGACTACGATTGAGAAGAAAATACTCCTTTTAAATACCCCTGGTGTGTTGCAGCCTGGAGCGAACTGCAGTCTTTACTACAAATACATCCTAAGCAAAAATGAAAAATAAAATTGTAACATGCAGAACAGGAGAAATGAAGAAAAAAAATCCAGTGACTGAATGAAGTAATTTGGAAGTTTGTTATCAAGCAGTCTTACTACTCCTAATGTCTATAAAAAAAAAAAAAAAAAAAACAAAAAAAAAAAAAAACAAGAATGGTAGTCAGAATGAGTAGTCATCAATCCTTCTTTAAATTTGGCTGTATATTTAGGATCAAGATTGCATTTAAGCCATGTGTTTTGCAGAGAACAGTGAGGTTCTGTGAACAACTGTCTACTGTTATACCTAACTCGCATGTCTACTACCGAAGAGGATTGGCTTTGAAAAGAATTATTCCACAGTGTATTGCGAGAGACTTCACAGATTTAATAGTCATTAATGAAGATCGCAAAATACCAAGTATCCTTTGTGTATTAAAAGAGAGGTATTGGCTTTAGGTGTTTTGGGAAAGAAAAGATTTTGAGTTTACTGTTTATCGCAATTTTGAGTTTACTTAATGTATCAAAGACATACCATGTTGCTTTAGAGCTTTTTTTTTCTCTTCACTGTGCAGCTTACATCTATAATTGTAAAGTTGAAGAATGATAAAGAATGATTTAAGTACCTAATGRCTAATGGAACTTGAAATTATTCAAACAAAATTACTTTGTTTAAGGGCATAGATATAACGTTCTGTTTCTCTAAGGTTTACAGTCGGATTAATCAATACTTTTTTCTGAACAAAGAATTTCATTTAGTTTTGCTGACTAGATTAGCCAAAGTGCTAGAATATACTTCTGTTCAACTATTAAAGCAAACTTCTAATGAACATACGTCAGAAAGCTAGTTAATTAGCTCATTAATGTATTTGAGGAAAAAATAGGAAAACCTTGTAAAACAGGCATATAGTATTCTACGGTAACATGACGTTTCACATAACATGTTGTTCTCTAAATTACATGTTTCATCAGCTTTTCTTTAACACAGTGAATAGATGGTCTTGTTCTAAGTCACTTGCCTGATGGCCCAACTGCTCACTTCAGAATGAGCAGTGTCCGTTTGCGTAAAGAAATAAAGGTGAGGCTCCATCAACAGAAGTATGAAATGTGCAGTGCATTGTGTAATGATAAATGTATTCTAACTCTCCAAACTGGTTGTGGTTTTGTGAGATTCTGCTGATCTCGTAAGGGTGTTTTTCTGTATGTATGTATAACATACACAAATGCAGAGTGTTTGTGCATAAACACAAACATACTCTTAAAGRCCAAGGAACAAAATGTTCCAGTTCCATAAGTAGCATATCTTTGATTTCATAGTTTCTGCTAAATTTAATTGTCTGCCAAAGACAGCTGATACCCTGAAACTCTAGGGAATGCAGTTGCTGGCCTTGAATAAAACCTAGCTTTACTTACTCTTACAGCATTGTAGTATTACTTACTTAACCATAAATAACTTGCAGTAAAATGCCTTTTGTTCTCCTTCTCTGAAATAGGTAATGCTTAAATTTCCTGTGTTCTCATTAAAGGCYGGCCCAGTTGCACTTATATGGCAATAGTCTGGAGATTTGCAGACTCCTATAAGAGCTAAACTGATCCTTTGTGGTAGGGAGTGCTGCTAGGCCTGGAAATTGGTGCAAGAGATAGGGAATGTAAAATTACCCATTTATGCCTTTTATTTAAAGTTATGTTGTTGAACCAACAGTTTTATATTCTACCTGTTGCTTCACCTGTATATGAACATAACATGTCTTGTTTTTCTAAATGTAGTTTAAAACAAGTTAGTCCCTGATGTTTTTTCTGGTTTGCTTCAAACTTAAAACTTGTCTTTGATAACCTATTGAAATAATTTGGTATTATCCATATTATCCATTAATGACTTTCATTCCAGCGAAAAGGTAAAGAGCCCACACAACACGTACCTGAAGTAATCCTGAATAATTTTACAACACGCCTTGGCCATTCTATTGGTCGCATGTTTGCTTCTCTCTTCCCACATGATCCTCAGTTCATTGGAAGACAAGTAGCCACGTTTCATAATCAGCGAGACTACATCTTTTTCAGATTCCACAGGTAACTCCCCTCATCCTATTCCCCCCACTTGTAAATGAGAGAACTTTCTAACACTTTTTTGTTGTTCTTTTTTTATTATTATTATTTATTTTTATTCTGAAGGTATATCTTCAAGAGTGAAAAGAAAGTAGGGATTCAGGAACTTGGGCCACGTTTTACCTTAAAACTGAGGTCCCTTCAGAAAGGCACCTTTGATTCTAAATTTGGAGAATATGAATGGATTCATAAGGTAGGTTTTAAAGTAATTATACTAGTTCTGTTTGAGAGTAGATAATAAAACTGACATTATGAAATGTAACAACAGATCTCGGGGTAAATGGCAACAGTGAAAGTTTTCAATAGYAAGCATTCAGCTGAAACACCATTAGAGGTGCTTTTATAGAAACAGGTAAAGTAGAACCGTTCTGCAATATTGTAGTAGAAAAACAGCAAGGTTGGTGGATATGAATACCATGGCTGCTTATTTGCAGAATGTAATTTAACATATACTGTCAAAAGTAAGCGTGGAAAAAAAGCTTCCCTAGTGTAAGCTTACTGCCTAGCAAGCTTCAGTAGAGCTCTTTTTGTGCAAAGTGAATGCAAGAACTCTAATATAAAAATGATKAAGTTCTTTGCATACATTCCACTTACTAATAGTGAATGGAAGGTAACAACTTATGCACAACTCTAAATGAAATGTAAGTATCACTGTAGGCAATGACAAATGACTCTTCCAGTCATTTTACCATGAAATTGCATTAGTTGACTGGCAAAACTTAGAAAACGAGTATTCAAAGCTGCATCAAGGGGGAAAAAAAGTTCTACTACTCCTGATGTAATCCATTTGGCAGACTCATGGACTCGTCATCATGAGGTGTTGGTAGTTGGTATCCTGTTACTTGAATATGTTGGCTAATGATCTTCGTTTTGAATTTCAGCGCAGAGAAATGGACACAAGCAGAAGAAAATTCCACTTGTAAGTGACTGCTGTCTACGAAATCCTCTACTGACCATGGACTGCGTCACTGTGGACTGCTAAGCAGGGTAATGTTACCTATCTGCTGAAAGACAAACTGCCAACGTTAAAACCGTAACACAACTCTCAATAAAGGTTCACTTTGAGTGCTCCTGTGCTCTAGACAGAAATTTTACTTTGCACCACTGAAGACGGCAAAGATTTTTGTTAAAAGATATTTTAAAATAAACTATTTTGCAATTATTTTTTTATCCTTCTGTAAAGCACCTCAGCTCAACTACGTTCCCTTAATTAGGTAAGGTATAAATAATTTAAACTTTTTTCTATCTTACAGCATGCTATCCTCTGACAGGAGGGGGGTGAGTTTTCCAAGAAGTGACTCTCTTGTAGGGAACATTAAAAGTAGGTTGTATTCAGTTGAGGAAATCTATGGTATTTCTTTTGGTTAAGATCTTGTGTAAAATGGCTCTGTTCCTGAAGTTATAAAAATAATATGCTAAATTCATACAGCTATTTTTTCTTTCCTCTACATAATACTATATTTAGGAGAGGTATGTACCTGAAACAGTCAGTGTTCTTGACCATAAGAAGAAATAATATAACTTGGGAAGAATTCACTGGGCCAGCTTAAAAGAAGGCTATAAAGCTAAAAAACCTTAAATGAACAGGTAGGGTCTCTGAGCAGAATTTTTCCTATTAAAACTTAAAAATATGTCTTTAGACTTTTGGCTTATGTGAGTTAGAAGTGTTGTTCTGCCCTAGGCTCGCTCATTCCCTGGCACCTAAGAAACTGAGTATTCTTTATTCTTTGAACTACTTTCTTTTTAAGTGCAGCCATTATAAGTGCATTTTACTATTTATATAAAGAGCTTACAGTGTAACTCTTCTACTCTTGTAAAGTTGCTTTTTTTTAGGAAAAGATAATTAAAACTGGTTTACTACCTTCGCCTTTATTTAATAAGTTTGATAGGAGACAGCTATATAGTTGAGTTGTAAATTTAGARACAAAAAAAATGTTGTATTTCTCTTGTGTTTCTAAGTATGTTCCTGATGAAGACTCATTGTTCTTTAGCAATATCAATGCAAGACAAACTTGCAGCAGCAGGGAGCATTTAAAGGGACAGACTCTGGTATCACTCTGTAATAGAACATACACAGTAACTGCTGAGGTACCAACACTTTCAAAAATGATTCAACTTGTTCCAGTAATTCCAAAACCAGACTAAGTCAAAACACTTTATTTTTTTTTGCTTGGTATATAAAATTGATTCCCTCATGAAACAGAAGTATTAATTAGCATACAGTTCATTTGGAGAGGTAGATGGTAAGAGTTTTGACAATAGTAGCACTTTTACAGTTAGATTTGGCACATTAAAGCTAAGCTTCTGTACAGACTTCAAACCAAGCCACTCCTTGAGGCACTCTGTCTCTACGCACATCAGCAGCTAGGAAAGATGCTAAAAGATCTGAAAGACCAAAAACAAGAGAAGATGATTAGAGTTAAGTACCAAACCTCAGTGAAGCACTCCCTATTTAAAAGTATGCACTGCCAAAATATGCCAGGGAGAGCTAGTTAAAAAAAAAAAAAAAAAAAAAGATCTTTTTCCAATGCTGTTTTATAGAGCTATGAGAATATAAAGTAACTTTATAAAACCATTTGCTATCTCCAAGGCTATAGGAAAATAATCAAAACTGAAGCGTGTTGGCTGCTCTAAGTCAGACCTTCAGAAAAACTGTTCATTCACTTGAAAGCTACAGCATCAAGCATCAAWTCTGCCTTTGCAAAGCTGGGGGAATTGGTGCAGCTTACAAGGAGCCTGTGAGGCAGAATTATATTTCCTTTTCACTCAACAGAGGTCGTGCTGACTGCACAAACATCAACTCTGTTGGCTCACCCTCAAAATACCAGGATTACAAAGAAATTGCCTATTTAGARGAAGTATATGCAAAAGAGTGGAAAAGAGTTCTCTATAGAGGTAATATGACTAATACTGCTCTTCAATGACTTTTCACGTAACAGGAGTAGAAGTAAGTGCTTGATTACAAAATGAGAAATGGGGAGAAGAKGGTAAAGGTTTTATGCATGTAATGTATAAAATTACTGAAATTCAAACCCTCTTGGCTAGAATACTGTGGACCCAGCTTTTTGTAGATGTTAGTCTAAAACTTGATTACCAGAATTTAAGTAATACCAGAATTTTTTAAGCAATACCAGATTAGTAGTTTAGCTTCATTGTGCTAGCAGCTGTGTTTAATCAACCTGTAAAAGTTCTGCACTGTAAATTGAAATAGAGAGGGAGCTGTTTCTAGTTATTTATACTGCTTATCCATGTGGTAGCTTACTTAAGTGSAATACAATTCTTGGAATACATAACCTTTCCATTTCAGTTAGAGGAGGCATCCTATAGAGGAAAGTGCTCTTACTTTACAACACCACCAGGCTACTTGAGGAAGTTCTCTTTAAAAGTTTTAGTTTAGGTAGATTATCAAGAAACTAGAAGAAAATTGTAAGAACTAAAGTGTCTTAAGTGTCTCTTGAATCCGTTTGCCAAGTGCACTGTCAGGCAATAATTCCATGTGAGAAAATGGAAGCATTACCCTTAAAAGGAGATAAGATAACACACAGTGTCAATGCAGGTTAGTCAAAGTAACAGCTCCCTCACAGCTGGCCCTGCTACTTCTGCAGAAAGTGGTTGAGACTCTGCCCCAACTCACTGCTAATGAACAGCATCTGTGCAGGCCCAGGCAGTGCTAYCACTGCAGGGAGGGAAGAGGCACCCAAAATGGGGATCCCCATCAACAGCAGCTGCACAGGTCACACATCTCCATGCTGTTAGCACAGCCTCATTTAAAGCTAATTATTATTGACAGGCAACATTATAAATCAAGAACTTACCAATGAAAGATACCAAGGCAGTTCACATAATTACAAAAATGAACAAACTTTCTGGGGTCTGAATGGATTTGTGCTTGAAGATACTCCTGTCAGTAGGGGATCGTGCTGTGCATTTTGCAAGCAGAACTGCTTCAAGTCTGCTGCAGCCTGAGAAACCTGGTGAAGATAAAGTCTACATTAGTATTGATGGAAAGTACTTGTTACAGAGGCTATAGCCTGCCTTGTGAACGATAATGAATGCAGTTACGTGATCTGCATTACAGTCAAGTCTAATCTATATRTGAGTGTCATCTCACGTTGTGGTTTCTGGGTGACAAGAAGTTGTAGGATACTGCAAMAAGAATTCTTTTAGAGCAACTCACACTGAAAACTGCCACGCGTGAGACTGCATGCAAGATGAGCGACATCCTGAAGAGCCCTTTGTACCACACACAAAGATCACTGTTCTTTAGAAATACAGCTGATAGTTTAAGGCTCTCTACTCCAATTAAGAGGCATTTTGTTTTCCCCCCAGAAAACTATCTTCACAAWGAGGTAACTTATGAATTTTGATTTTTTTGGCAGGCTGTAGCTGCCCAAGAACTGTGTGCTAACTTGTCTTTCTCTCCCTTGCTGCCACCCTGAGCAGAAACGAATGGTCGGACTTGAGGAAACTTGCGCCTCCGGTGATGCTTGCCGCTTCCTCCTGGGGCGCGCGGCCTGTTGCACGGACTGCCCCGCACCCGGCGCCGCCTCCGTCCCGCGGCGCGACCTGCGGCCCGGGCAGCCGCCCTGCGCAGCGCCCCGGAGCCCCGAGGCGCCCCCGGAGGAGGAAGCGACCGCGGGACGAGGCGCGCCCGGCCCGACGGGCCCCCAGGGGCGGCAGGGCGCGAGGGGAGCCGCCTTGGGCSCCGGCCCGGCTCGGCGGGACGCGGGGGGACCCGGGGCAGGCGGGCACCGGGCCCGGCCGCCCCGCTCCGGCTCCTCGCTGCCCCGCGGGCGGGGCGGAGCGCGCGGTAATGGCGGCGCGGCCGCCCCGTGCCGTCCYGTGCATGGCCGCGCGCCGCCCCTCACCTTCACGCGGCTCACGCTGGCCTCCAGGCGCAGCTGCTGCACCACCTTCTTCATGGCCGCCACGTTGGAGGAGCCCGACATGGTGGCGCGGCGGTGGGCACACCCAGCACAACTTCCCGGCGCGGCCCCAACTCCCGAGCCCGCCGGCGCCTGCGCAGCCGCCGCCCGCCCTCCCTCCGTCCCGCCCGGGGCTGCAACGGCCGCCGCCAGCGGCTGCCGCGGGGGGCGCTGCTCGTGCCCGGTGCGCGCGGCTAATGGCGGCGCGGCCGCCCCGGGGTGGGCGGCCGGGAAAACGCGGCCGCCCCGGGGCGCGGGTGTCCCCGGCGCGTGTGGCAGGCGGCGACTCATGGGTCTGCGTTGAGTTTTCACGTGATTCCCGTGGAAGGGCACTTGAAATCGAGGGGACGCTCACAAAATGTGTTTTTATTGTCTAGTTGGCAGAGTAGATGGGAAGACAATAGCAAGCCTGTTCTCGGCTGAGGCACCATTTAAAGGTTATTTTGAGGCACAATGAGGGGAGTTGTTAACCTTGGCCAGCTCACTTGGCTTAGAGGGTGCTTACTGTTTATTGCAGAAAGTGTCCAAGAACACAGATAAAGTCCAAAACTACGAAACAGAGCGAAGCTGAGTAATGCAAAATGCAAGATCTGGCATCTGCGCAGGCCTGGTATGAGCCCCTTGTACAAGTCCTTGGCTGCAGGAGCAGTGACCACGCGCACCAGCCRGCGCATTGGGGCTGCTCTCAGCTGTGTAGTCATGGAGGGAGCCAAAAGGAGGCTCCCTGAGGGAGGTGTTTCCTACAAGCATGAGGAAATCCTACTTGCAACGCACAGAGAATGACGAGCTGCCATGGGCAAGGGCCGTGTTGGCACAGAGGCGGCTTTGTCCCTGTGGAGGATGTTCTGCTATACTGAAACTTGGTGGGTTTGTAAGTGATGGGATAGGGACCCTCTGGGGCAACCTTCAAATGAGAGTGCTGAGAAGAATCGTAGAAAACACTAGGGTGGAGCCAGGACAGTTCATGAAAGGGCTTTTCCAGCAGGCTGCCTGATGTAGTCACGCTCCTTTGGAATACCGAGCTTGGCCGGAGTGATGTGAAACRGGAGGTGTGCGAGTGACTTGGCCTCAGCTCACAATAGCCATCCTCTTATTAAAGATAAATCTAGCAGGAATCCCATTTTGTGCCTTCAGGTAGCCCTTGTGCAGGCAGTTACATACAGCTGCAATGTTCTCAGAAAAGCACAGAGGGTGTTGGAGCGAGGACTGCAGGGCGCCGTGTTGCTCGGCAGGTTACTGGGGACACCCTGGCTCCTCCTCGGGAGGTGTCCCCAGCCTGCTTGCCTGCGGCGAGACGGAGCCTTTCGGCCCAGAGACACCTTTGTTTGTTCTCCTAAGTGGAAAAGGAAACAAGTAAGTTCAAGGAAATTAATGGGATAACTTCTCCCGTAGCAGATTTATCATGGAACCTATTCTTGAAGAATGCTTAAATCTAAAAGAGAATTAAAAGTTCATCTGGCCTTCGCGGTGACTGAGTGAAGGAATCGAAATGTTCGGTCGTACAAGACCTCCAACATCACRGGTGAGAGTTCTTATACTTTTACTATTTTTGTTTCTTAAATGAAAAAAAAAAAAGCTGCAGCATTTCTGGAAAATGTGTGAGAGAAAAAAAAGTCTTCTAACATAATAARCATAAAAATCATTCTTTTCCTCTTTACCAACCCAGTAATCCACCAACTGCAGAAATATTTAATATAGCTTCTAGTTACAGGGAAACCTTTTCAGAAATTTATCTTCCTTGCTAATACTATTTAGTTTTGTCCAGATTTTCAAGGGCCAGATATTGATAGACAATGATTCTTGCAGGTTTGGGCACAATCTAAGTGAACTTTCTCAGAGTGGGCTGAGTTATTCTTGCCTCAGACATTGCTAAGAGCACTTCTGTACTTCCAATATTGATAACATTTGTGAGAAATATTTTACATTTTCTTCTTGGGAAGATCTCTCTGTACTGCATTTGGATCAGGCTTTTAGCGCTTTGTACTTTTTACGAGTTGAACAGGATTGAGATGTTAGCTGGAGTATTCAGTATCCATGACACACACACTCTTGAGGATCAGCTGTTTTTCATAAGCTCTGTCCATGGCTGTCACTATGGCATGAAAGAGAAGCACAGGCTGTCTTTGCTCTCATTTTTACTGTTCAGATTGTTCTAATGTGAATTGTTTCAATACTGAGTTTTTTGTAAGCTGAAAGTCAATCAGAATTGCTTTTGGTTGTCATTGTCATCTAGGACATCATTTTCTAGTCCATATGCTRGCAGCAAAGAAACAATTCCTGCATCCAGACATTGAAAGTACAACTAAGGGGGAAAAAAAAAAAGGAATATTTAATAATACAGCTATAGCTAAGATGATCTCTTCTTATTCGATTTAGATGGTGGAACTTCACGTTTTTTATGTCCCAGAAGAAGTGTGGAACTTCAAGCTGAATACAGTGTCTGCAGCTCTATCTAGTAAATTCATTTCAGCTGGATTTATAAGGTGAGTTTAGTCTCAGGCCAGGACCACTCAGCATCCCTAAAACTTTTAACAGCTCGACTGCATAGAAGTTACTCTACACTGTCCTTCGGTCATTTAATACCAGCTTTGCTCTGCAGAGTAAAATTGGATCTGTCAGAAGAGACCAGTTCTCTGATCCTCTCCAGAGGGTAAGTGGTGCCCAAGATTAGCATTCTGCCTATTAGAACTGTCTCAATCTTAGCACCATTACAGCCTGTGGCCTAGACCACTGAAGTAGGATTGCTGCAGAATAGTTTAGCTTGTAAAATCACAATCTTAGATTCTTTCTTTTTCCTTGAGCCTGGTTATTGGAAGCTTAAATTTGTTTTAGCAGTGAGCAACCACTAGTGTATGTCTTTTTTTTCTTCTTCAGTAATATTTTTGAACAGTTGCTTGCAACTGTGTGTGCTGTGTGTGCTCTTGGGTTTTAGCAGGACTTACTACATAATAATTCCCTGGGGTGAAATGCTACAGTAAACTGGTATGAGCAATGACCTGTGCAATGCCAATATATCACTATCTTTCCAAACAAATAAAAAAATCAAAATATTACAATCTAGGAGAGGGAATAGCAGTACTCTTGCTGTTACCCACAATGTGTGAACACTGTTGATAGCAGTGTGCAGTCAAGAGCCTGATGAGCCTAGACCTGAGTCAGCTGTACAAACGATTCCTAGGTGTAGGTATAGGCCACTTATACTAATCATAAAATTAGAGGAAAATATTGTGTAATCATCTATGGCTCTGAGCTCTCAGCCCCATGACCTTGATTTCTCGGCCTCTGTGGTCTTTTTATTTATTCCTCTTTCCTTAGCACAGAACCTACGCTTTTGTTGTTTCTAGAGGAGGTTACTTCAGTGAAGTCTAGCTTGCATTACTTTTAGAGGAACAGACTGAAGCAAGTGATGTAGATGTGCCCACTCTGCTGGCCAGTGACAGCAAAGGAAGGATATTATGCATGCTTCCTAGCAGCTGCACTGACAMGCTAACTATTTTCAGATATGTTTCTGCTGCATATCTTAAGAGCTATACAACCTAAGTAATTGTCTTCTGTATTACATCATAGCTCCTTAAATCAGGTGTTTTCTCCATTGTTTATAGAAGCTCTTAGATAGAAGCTTATAGAAGCTCTGTTTCAAAAGGATGTTATCAGTTAAGAATGTTCAGTTTTAAAATCTGTGAAAGAGCTTGCACTTGTTGGGTTCCAGGAGCAGTTCAAGGGGCACAACTTCTCTCAGCTTGAAAAAAAAATGTTAGTGAATGAGGTATCTGGATTATAGATCATCTGTGTTCTTGTATCAGGCCATGCAAGGATGTGTATTGAATTAGAGATCTCTCCTTCACATATTTCTTTATRCATTTGAAATAAATGACTAAATTAGAGCTAACATTTGCACCAGATACGGGCAAATAGAAGATGTGGAAGCAATAAAGAGAGGCTAAATATGTGGGGCTAGGCATATAGGGACCAAGCAATGTGGCCTGTGTCTGACTCTGCAGAAAGCTTGGCCTTAGATCTCCTTTGTCAGGTCTTGTGCTCCAGGTGGAAATTTGTGATCTTGAGGAGGGTTCTCTAGGTCCAGGGTGTTTGAACTAAGGTAAGAGCAGCCTTGTAGTCCACTGAAGTACTGGGTGAAAATTCTATAGCCTGAAACTGAGAGCATTTTTTTGCATGCTTTGGCTATGAAATTAGGCATATAGGACTTAGAGGGTACAAACCATGGTGGGGAAATACTGACCTAAGTGGACAGAGCTGAACGTGCTGCATTCTAGACTGTGCTGAGCGTGATGTGGGCTATCCCCCGGGCTGTGCCTGTGTGCTGCTCCTAGAGCAATAGCTGCCCTGGACCAAAGCCATGGCAGACAGCGTGTCAACATTGAAGTAACAAGGATGATCAGAAGTCCTACGTAGTCCCAACTTGCTCCCTGGCTTATTTTATGTTGCAGCATGGCAGTAACCAGAATTGCTTATATTCTGCTGAAGAATATGTGCATTCCTGTTGTGTGTTATTCTGTGGCAATGCTTTTTATTCCATGGTGATTTTCATCCTGAGCTCATGCTTCAGTCTTCTCATGGTTTCCAGTAGAACATTAGATGATATAATTCATATTTGCATCAGCTCTCTCTCATCTCATCCTCTAGCTATGGTAGAAATGTTTGCACTGAAGTGGTTGATTTTGATTTAAAGTACATTTGCATATGTACACACACACACACMCCCTCCAATAAATTTAAGTTAGAGAAGATAATATGAAAGGAATATGTCACATTACGTGGACAGTGATAAAGTCTCTTGAAAGAGTGTGTCCTACAGTCTTGGACCAGCCCTCTCTAACTTTGCCACCTAGATGGAAATGCTTTATTGCAGTTTTTGTTGCTTGTGTTATTCATCTGCAGATTAGCAGTAGTAAAGGGGTCTTGGAGTTTCAGGGCTTTTGATTTTCTCTTGTAACGTGGATATTGTCAGGTAATGTTGTGACAACCTTTAGCATAGAGGCTACCATAGTGCACAGTCTACCTACTGTAACACAGCCTACCATACAGCAATATATGTAAGCAGATTCAGTTTTAGGAACATGGTTCCTGGTTTTGGTCATTCTCTTCAGTCAAGCCAATCTAGAGCGTTCTCTCCCCCTCTTACTAACTAGCCATCGTTATTTAATCTTACAGATGTATTAATGATAACAACATTCTAGGGTGCCTCCTCACATCACGCTCAGAGTGCTGCGAGAGAAGCTTGGAGAATACCTGGGTGGAGTGGCAGTTGCAGATAAATTTATATTTTTGAAATGCATTGGGAAAAAACTAGCTGTGGTAAGTTAATATTTTTTTTCTTTTTCCCTATTGCTACTCTGCTTTTTAGTATAAACAAAGGTTTTAGTTCCTGCAGATTAAATGCTACACAAGAAAACAGGGGTAACTTTAGGAGCAGTGCTAACCCTTTTTTTCTTAYGCATGTTACATTATGTTACACATAAGCTCTTACTGAAACTGCTTTGTCAAATGCAGGMACAACTGGTCAGGTATATTAGAAATAGACGTAATCTTTTGCCATCCAGTGAAAGGTAACAGTTTTGATAAATCAGGAGATCAATTAAATATGGCAAATCTAGTTGCATGGAAAATAATCCCCACTATGGTCACKATTACACTTACATGGTTAGGAATATGGTACTTGAAGAATTTGCAATGAAACTTGAGTATGTTGGAATTCCTCTAGAGGTTCCTGCTGCAGCCTTTGCAGTGGTCTCTAGGATGACTCCTCTCTGTGGACATTTCTAATTAGTCCAGCGACAGCCTGAAATTTATGGCATGAAAAAGCTACATTTCTTAATCATAGCTGTTCCTCACATTGATATTAATAGTTACAGTTAAAGATTAAGTAAATTTGAAAAGCAGTCTAAATGTTTATTATATAATGCTTAATGTCACTTAAATTTTTGCATTAGTATGGAATACTTTTTCACTTCTTATTTACTTCTACTTCTCAGAGATTGTCAGGAAATTAATTATAAGCTGTAAATTTGCTGCTGTTCTTTCTCTCRTTTGTAGTCATCACTAAAATTGCCCACACAGAGGACTAGAATAAGTATTAATAATGTGAAAAATTAGTTAGAAAAATGAAAAGACAAACTGAAGGAATGTGACATGACATAAATTTAAAATTGTGCAAGTGCTTTCAAATAATTCAAGTGTTTTTAATTAGGGATAAGTAAGATTGTATATTTGCTCCTCACTGATACTTCTGGTTTAAGTGAAGAAATTTTGCAGCTCCATTGAGAATGTCCAGGCATATAATAAAAAGATCTTTATTATTAGAGAATTAAAGATCTTAGTAGAGACAAGTGAAGATTTTTATCAACAAATTAAAGATACAGTTTTAATTTGGGGGATTTACTCTTGCTTGATATTTAACTTTGTGTAAAAGGGCAAAGCAATAAATCAACAGAGTGGTTTATTTGTTGTTTAGGGTCATGGTAACCTCATGCAATTGTATCTCCACGATCAAATATTTGCTGAGTTTTTTTCCGGTCTTCTGTTTCACAACAGTAACAATGTAAGCAATGCAAAGAGCTGTGCCCTCCTTGCAAAGTAAAGGCCTTTAAATGAAAAACAAGCACCAAATGAAAACCAAAACCTTCGTTTTCTCCTTGTTTTCTTTCACATAGTCTATGAATGTTACAATGAATCAGTGGCATTATTAGGTTGTAACTAAGAAGAGAACATGATCCCAAACCTATTTCAGTTTAATGGAAATTAAGAATATAAATTCAAGAAGCATAGAAGAGTTCAGGAGATTTGTAGATCTTTTTATACGTAAATTATTTTGTGATGTTGTGTAAGGTGTATAGAGCATGCAAACTCATCATTTCTAATCAGATTTAACTTGAAGCAACTTCTGATAAAGACAGATGAAGCCTTTTCTTTTATTGCTGTGATAGTTGGATCAGATCCTTTGAACCATAAGCGAAAATGCAAAAGATAAAAATGTTTATTTAGATATGCATGTACTTTTGTGGGTCTGATTTAGAGTTTGAAAATAGACAAAATATTTAGTGCCATGTCAGAAAACAAAAAGTAGCATTTTGTGCTGCTTCTCATTCCAGAAGACAGTATTGATTAGTAAAAATGTAAAGGCGATGACAGAATAAGCTGATATTCAATATTGATTTTATTTAAGTATTTTATTGGTTACACTTTCTTTCTTCATCATCCAAGGTGAAAGCAAAACAAGAGGCAGAACTGGAACTGAAGTCATTTGCTCCTCCTTATGTATGTATTGAATGSCTTTTATTACACCATTTTCCAAACTTTTTACACTGCACATTTCTTCTTTCGCGTCTGATTAACATATTGCATACTTCAGGCACTTTACCCTGAACTATATTTATTACCTGGAGTGGAATACYTTGAAGATGCTTATCCATCATCATCATCAACTCAGGAAAGACATCACTTTAATGAAGAAGTTAGTGGGTTTGCTCATGAATCAAGATTTTCTAGACTTCTCCCCACAAAAAATGGAAAGAGTCAGCGATTCTTAGAGAGCAGACGAAGCAGTCATCTGCTAGAAAATACAGTGCACAGTCCTGTGGAATGGGGCGAGAAAGAATCTCTTCTGGTTTTGCACACAAATCACGAGCAAGACCAGAATATCAGGATTCAAGATAAGAAGATTCAGCTTAGAGAAAAAGGTAAGTTTATTCATGTAGTGAAGAAGCGGAAAAGAATAACTACCATGGTTAACATTTGCATTAAAATGTTTTTTCTCTTTTGATGTCAATTATTCAACAGGTCAGAATGGATCCAGTGGAGCTCTCTTTGTGCCAAGTAATTCAAAGACTGCAGATGGGGAATCTGGGAAGAACTCTCCCCAGAACTCTCAGCAAAATCGTCTGAGCCGGGATCCAAAAGAGCGTAATGCTCCCAAATGGAATGACAAAGCCAAAGAAACTGCTCCTACTCTTCATGTAAACCACCGTGAGGTACAAGGCCAGAATAACCCAATCCCCACAAGCTACATTAAATATCAAAAAGGTATTATTCCTTGGCATCTTATTGTGAGTTGTATGCTTTTCAGAAAGTGGACATAGCAAATCTATGATTAAAAAGACTCTTAGCATAATTTGGAAAATGGTTATTAGAACAGCAGCCTCACTTTTTTTAGAAAAATATTTCACAAAGAAGTGTAGGTTTATCTAAAGAGTCAATCAATTAGCTATTACAATTAGTGTAGGTCTATCTGAAAAGTCATCAATTTGCCATTCTTTATCACTATCTACTGATAAAAGGAACACTTTAATATAATTGATGCATGTCTAACATTTATTGTATGAAAACAAACTGCTAAGTTGCCACTTGTTACATGTAAAGGTAGAAAGATCATCTCATAATTAAAAGATATTTAAATGAATAAATCCTGTTATTAAYATATCCAGGAAAGCAATTTACTCACTTCCACTTTCATTTTACCCACAACTACATTACCTCTGGAGGGAAAGGGGTTTCCAATATAATCTGAATATAATGTTGCTCTATTTTTATAATGTTGAACAGTGTGATGCTTAAAACTGAAGTGAGAGAACTCTTTGACTGGACTGTAATGGAAAATAGTACAAAGTAGTGTTCTCAGATTTCTTTCTGCAGTTTCAATTTCCAATCATATTTTGTCAAAAGTAGCCCTGTCTTTTCATCACCATATTAGCTGAAGTATGCATTAGGTAAAAACACATGTGCAGGCACACTTACATACATGTGTTTGTTTATGTGTGTAATTGTGTATATATGTTTGATAAGTGGTGCTGTTACATATATCTATATATAGATGTGTGTGATGTATATGATAATATATAATAAATATATATATCACAAGTTTTATGAAATGTATTTTTGAATGACGGGAGCTGTACAATTTTGTCAGATGAAGGTAAAGTCATTCAACAACTTTTGAAATATTACTTACTTTGTAGATATTTTTAAGCAGATATTTATTTCTTGATATATTAAATGAAAAATGTTCTGCTGTCCCTGTTTTTGCTAGCTTCAGTTGTCCCTGTTTTTGCTAGCTTCAGTTTGTAGAGGATCTTCAGTTGCTTACAAGTAGAAAGTGTTAGATAAGAAATTAATTTAGGAAAGGTTAAATAGCTAGGTGGTTTTTCTTATCTGTGTTATCATTCCTGTATTAGTTATCAGAATTTACTTAGATAATAAATTTTCAAAACCGTGAGGACGTTTTTTTCACTTTTATTTCTTTCCTGTTGTTCATACATCACAGAACGTTGCCATACCCCAGAGAAAAGTGTATTAATGGAATTGATGCAGTGAATTGAGTTGATTGAATTTCTAATACAGGTTGGAAAGTCAAAGCATTGGCACTCAATTATTTTTTTGAGTATAATCTGAACATGTTAATCATTTTCTTTGCACAGAGCTAAACCCCAAATTAGTAGTCACAAACATGGAAAATAATGACCATCAAGAAGATACCAAACTAAGAAGGAACAGAACACAGAATTCTGGAATGCCTACAAYGTGGGGAGATCAAACCATTGAACATATGCATAATAACCAAAGGTTAGTAAATAAGGATTCTGATAAAATAATGGATAGTCTTAATTCATAGGTAGAAACTTATTTAAAAGACTTCCAATAAAGGAAAGAAAATGAAAAAGAAAAGCACTTAATTACATACGTTTTCACTTGCTTCTTTGTATTTATCTTTAGCTTGCAGCAGTATGGAACAGGCAAGTCTGTAGCTGACCCAGGTGAAAAACAGGATAGTCAGGTATGTTTCCCAGCTAACCTGTATGAAGTAATAAACACAGAAGAGAGGAAGAACAGATGGAATCATCCTGTAGGTTGCCTATCTTAAAGGAGACTGAAAAGAAGGAAAGTTTTCAACATTTTCACATACCATTCTGCAAAGCTTTTAAGCCAAAAGGGATTTCAGGCACACTCACCTTTCTTCAGAGATGCTAAACYTCTCTGTTTTGCCGACTGCCATTGGTCTGGTAAAAATATTACTTCCCTCACCAAAAGTATATATTCTACTACTACCAGTTTTTTGTTTATGAATTTGCCTTTGGAAATAACTATTTTTTTTGTTCTTACTGTGCTTGAGTTATTGAAAAAAAAAACTTAAGTATTATTTGTGCTCAGAATGTACCTCATGCTAGTTAAATAAAGAATAGTTTTATCAAGAATTCTTTCCTTACCAGAGAAAATGGATGTGGCAAGTGCTCATGGATATATCTGCATAGTTTATCTACTGCTCTAGAAGGTAAAAGTTAGCTGTAGCTAAGTGCCATGGTTTGTCAGTGAAAACAAATTTATGCAATACAAGATTATAGAAAATCTTGGAATTTGGTAATTTTTCAGAGATCCTGAAAAATTCATCAGTTAAAGTCTCTCAAATATATGTGAAATAGACGGTTCTAGTTGTAAGATATTGACATTCTGTTTAACTGATAGGTGACAGTCTGGAGGTCCATATTAAACTATGTTTAACTTTATCAATTTTTATTAGCTGCCAAATAAAATATTCTTCTGTCAGCAACACAAACCTATGTGAATCTCAAGAATAAAAAAGCTTATGTTCTGAATTCAAATTCAGCTCATTTAGGTCATTTCCAGGCAGGACATGTGTGTGTGCAGTGACTGATGATAGCTTACAGTTCGTATTAACTTAGATAAAGACTTTTCTCATGTGCAACATAAATATTTATCATCACAAATTATGTTCTTATTATTTTTCCTTTTATCCTCTAGACGAATGAAAACAGTGAAACTCATCTTACATTTCCAAAAGAGTATCTTTCTCCTCCTAGTCCACATTTTCTGGCACTTCCTGTGAATCCAGCTCAAGTTCCTGCAATTCAGTCAGAAAGTAAGTATATACATCCAGAAAAATCACAGAGGAGTGAACTGAATCAAAACTGAGCAGCTGATGAAGACAGAAATATTCACCTTATAAAAGAAGTTGTATGTATGTGCATATATTTAATCACATTCTCATTGCAAAAAAATAATTTGTTGTTGGAGAATTCCAAGCATTTTTCATTATATACCTGAATATGGAAGAGATTTCCAGTGCTTGAAAATTCTCTTGTGGGTAGAAGGAGGTAAAAGCTTATTGGATAAAATGCTATTGTCTCAAGTGAGCATGTGGATAAATGACTGCTGCCAGTATGGCTAGTTACATTGTTGCAGGCTGGTGAAAGCTTGAAATACCCTGTTCTGTCTATACTAGTTGAATTTAAGGAAATATTTTGCTACAATTTATATTTATTTGTCACAAGATAATTTGAGCAGGAAATAGGATGTCTCTAGGGGCTTATCTGTCCTCCTGGCAGCAGTTTTCAGTATATGTTGAAAATGTTCTGGAAGTTCTGATACCTGGTCTAGGCATTTAAAAGGATCTTTACCTGTTTGTWTGCATATGGCTAGCTGGATGCATACCATGTTTGTCTCATTTTGGGGGTTTATTATGAAAACCTTGATTGATCCTTCCCACTTACAGTATCCAAACACTTGCTAAATGTAATTTTGTTTTTAGAAAATGAGATGGTAGAACGACTCCAGCAGATGAAGAACGACAGAAGATACATGGAGAAAACAAGGGAAGACCTGATCAAAAAAGCCAAAGGGCTACTGGAACAAAATAAACTGAGGAGATACCATGGTATGCTTTTAATTTCTGTTCAAACTTGGAATGACTGCCAAGTGACACTAAAACCAAAGTGAAAATATGTGTTATTATCAGCACAGTTATAGAAAGAGCAGTTGGCTGGGCAGAGCTCTGAGAAGGCTCGTTTATWTAACAGTTTGATAGAAAGATTCAAGATGCAAATATCTGCTTCCACTTCCTTGTGGCAGGCTTAAATCTTTTTAAAAAATCCTGGCTTTTATAAACCACTGATGTTATGTGACGTGTGGATAATAGAGTGCACAGAGAGCTACTTTGGACTTCATTGTTTGAGGCTTAATGCAAWTCACAGGTAAATTCTACCTTTAACAGTAGAACTTACTCTGCTTTTGTTAGGACCTTGATTCAGTCCACCAGCATAATACTTAAAATATCTCTTATGAAATGTCATTTGTCATATGGCATGGAAATTGCAAGCGGTCATGACAAGCTTTGCAGCTTGTACTTAAGTACAGCTGCAAGCCTGGGAGCCTCAGCTACATCACCCATACTTTTATAAGAAGGACAAGCTATTTCTTCCAGCTGTTCTCTCAGGGCATGGCTGCACTGCTCTCTGCAGCATGGTGAGGTCATATTTTAAGAGCAGGCTTGGGTACTACAAGGAGGGAATTGGTGGTAGCGTGGAGCTACGGGCAAGCTAATTTACCCTGCTGAGATAATTCCTAAATGCATTGTTTTAAATTATGTTATCCAGTTAAATTAAAGGTTTTTTTCACAAGGATTCCAACAGCTTCTGCAGAAGCAGAAGCTCCTCTACCTCCCAATTATTTTAGCCAGACCTTTAGAGTTTCATAAGTGCTTTCACAAACATGTTTCTTCACAAGGGGTAAAGGGCACATCATATACTGCAGGAACAACTCTATGTAATTTCCTCCTAAAATTGCCRCAGAGACAGTCACTAAGTTATATGTTCTGTAGTCCTTCAACAGATGGATTCTTTTTATTGAGTTAGCTGCTTTCCTAAAGTCAGCTTTGGAAGAAAGAAGCATTTAAGACACAGTGCTGACTGACAGAAATATCTTGACCATACAACTACCACATCAAGTATGAAGGGTACATATGTGCTGGTCAATGGTAATAGACTAACAGTGTAGCCCAAGGACTCATAGTTAAATATAAGGGGAAAAATCTGTTTTCCATAAAGCCTCAGAGTTCACTGTAAAAGGGCAGAGCTGCCAGGCTGAATGACATTTAGTTTCTGGAGCTTCTATGGTGTCTCRGAGGACAGATAGAGCCTTTTGTTCAGGAGATTACTTGTTCAGAAAACTCTGATGCTGTTTGTAACAAATGTCACTTTAGCAAAGCCTTTAACTAATGAAATCTACTGCTGGATGTTCCRATACACTTTGGTAAACTGAATCTTGTAAGAGCCATTGGTTGTTAAGGTCTTCAAAACACGTTGTGATAAGGTGAACAATGACTAAATAGCAGTCTGGTTTCCTATGCAGTTCGTGAGGAATGGAAAAAGAAGTACTTTGAAACAAAGAAAACTACAGTTTCCCTGGAAGACGTTTTAAACAAACTGCAGCAAGATTTTGAGCTTTGCTACCAGAAATTACTTTTGCAACTGGAAGCCAGAGATACCCGAAAAAGACCGAATAATGCAGCAACTTCCAAGGTATTTGTGCATATTATTTAAATTTTTTTTTTACAAGATCTCATTTTTATATAAAATATAAATTTAAGTAGCCAGTTCATCATCATCTAATGTATAAGCTAGCTCTGAGCTGAGGATCAGTTACTACATCCCATTCTTAGTAAAACTAAAGAAGTGCTTGAGCCTGTCCATTTTAGTCCGTCTGCTTCGTGTTTGTTTGATAGCCTCTGATGACAAAAATCCCTTCCTTTGCTCAGTATAATTAATGAGTCCTTCAGTTCCACATGGTTCTCCTCATCCCCAGTTTCAAGTACAGAGGTCRTGCAGTCTAGCTGTGTTTGGAAGAGAGGAAAAAAAAATTCCCGAGGTGTTTGGAGTGGTTGCACCTGAACTTGTGCAACTATGAKGGGTACTGTGTTAATGGACACACACTGTTGGTGTCAAATCATGGGAAGTCAGGGAGGAATAAATGAAGGATAAAAGAAACAGGGAAAGCACTCCCGATATTTAAATCTGCCCATTTTCTAAATGCATTTGTGGAGGCAAATCTGCCCACAAATCTGAAGCTAGAACAGGAAAAATAAACTGTAGGACACATGTGTAATGTCTTGTGCTCGCATCTAAAAGCTGGGCTACAATCTAAAATATATKATGTATGTTATTGAAACTGTCTTTATATAGATATTTAAGATGTAAAACTATTAATAAAGTTGATGCAGTGTATTTATTATTAGCTATGYTGGAGTTCAGATATTTTGGGGGTGGGGTCAGATTTTGGCGGGGGGGTGTCTTTAGCTGGGCACAAAGAGCCTATATAGGAAGCATATGTACAGCTTAACTGTGTGAAGCAATTACTTATTGGCCAGCACACAACATACAACACATAGGCTTGGAACATCAAGTGAAGATTGCCATGTTTGCACCCATTCCTGAGGGTTAAAGCCTCCTAGCGCCCAGGGGCGACTTATGCTAGCTGAGTATCAGTGTCCATTGTGAAAATAGGAATTTTAGTTTTACAGGTTAATTCAAACAGAACTCGGAGCACTCACAGCTGCTGCTGTGTGTGTCAGACATGCACAGACTGTCTGTGCCTGTCTAGACAGTTACCTGCTGTAGCAGTCCAGTCAATGAATGTGCTGCCTATGGGCTGAAGTGACAATAAGCCTGTGAAGTGTGCCTTTGTATTAAATGTGGGCAGCAGTCCCAGAAATTAATAGCAAAATACTGTGCTATTSCTCAAGAGATCTGATCTGGATCTTAACTTCCCAGAGTACCAGGGAARGAAGAAGTTTCACCCATAGCCAAAGGACTTCTTGTTGGAGAGCTGCCCTCTAAGGAAGAGCAGGGTGTTTGCAGACTAAGGAGCTTAAAGCAAGATAGCTGAGCATGTGTGAGGTACTAGAATAAGGTGGGAGAGTTGGAAAAAGAGTTTATGGAAATTATTTCGCACCCTAATAGTGAAGAGATGCATTGTCTACGAATGCGGAAATACATTAAAGCTTTCATGTTGTTTCACCCAGAATAACACAATCATCCGGATTGTTACAGTACAGCATGATATTGATCAACTGAGGAAGCAGCTGGATGACACAAAAATGAAACTTGTGATAGAAATTAAGGTACTTAATTTCTGCTTTTATCCTAGTGAGTCTTTTAATTAAAACAGTGGAAATATTATTCTGTATAAAGATGTAGATCCTCTCCAAACACCAAAAGACTTAAATATTAGATAAGGAGTTCTTATTTTCAATGTTATGGTATGGATTGTCATTGCAGCTTTATCTCTTGAGCCAGGTTATTCCAGAGCATCAAGTTTTAAGATGATTTTGAATGCATTGCATTCAAGCAGTTACTTAAATTTTCAAGGTACTGTGTAAGTTGAGCTTCACAAGCTCTCATAAAATTCCTGTTTCACTGTGAAGGTAATTGAAGGCACATGTTAGGTCAGGTGTTGAGCAGWGGCAATCTGTGGTGATGGGAGTAAAAAAATGGTATGAGGAACAAAATAGTGATGTGGTGCATTGTAAGAACAGTCATCTTCCATCGTGTGCTGCCTGTGGCTTCCTCTGGAAGGTGGATCATGGTAGCAGCATTTATACYAGGTAAAAAGCTTTGCAGCTTTGAATTCCTGAAAGCTGCTGCTTCTGGGTGGCAGAGAATATCCACACACCCATTTAGTCTGGGTGTCTGTACTCATCACACCTCCTACAGCAGGGCCTCTGTGTAACAGAAAGAGGAAAGAACCTGAATTCGAGGGTTGCCCAAGGCAAAGTGCAGAAGAAAGCTGTGCCAGAACCAGGGTACAGAGTTAGGCATGAAGGACTTTTGAAGATGAAAAGATAGTCTGTATGCAACCATCCTGCMTGAAATCCAATCTTAAAAGTGTATGTCCACTCCAAAAATACCTGTAAATTACAATTCCTTAAATTACTGCTTCTTCTGTAGATGAGGAAACAAGCAGCATCTGATTTACGAGCGCTGAGAGCAGAACTGACACAGAAGAAGATTCATTCCAGTTTTATTCTCCAGTCTGGGAAATCAGGACTTTGCACCTGAAAGGTCTACTGAAGCTCTGCAATGTATATAGAAGTTTAGACTTTCAAGTATGAAATGATYAAAATGATCACACACACAAACCTTCCTCATCCCAACTGACAACATATACATAAAATGTAAGTAACAGAGTCACTTAAACAGGGCACAGCTGCAGTTTAATCTGGTTCCGAAACAGTTTTGATAAAAGTGTGGGCTGTAGGGAAGTGTTGGGAAGCAAAGCCCAAGCTATAAATACCCTTCATCAGCCTTAACAGACACAGCATATTATTTAACAACAACAAAAAAAGTACACATCAGTCCATCTCTCTGTAAATAGAAATATTTTAATGAGTTATACAATTATCTTATGAAAAAATATTATCTAGAATAAAAATGTACTCCTTTATTCTCTTAGCAGCAACACTGGATTAAAACAAACAAACAGAAAGCTACTGAATGAAAATTATAAATTGTGGAAAAATGTTCACAGCTCATTAAGTAGGCTCCTCTCTTCTAATATTCAGTAAATAGAGAAGTTTGAAATGGAAAAATGCCATCCAGTTTCTCCTCTTATCCTATCCTAAGAGAGATTCCTAGATTTTTGGAATTTCAAACTGAGAAGTTCACATATGATGCAGTGATACAGACTCTCACACAGTGAACCAGGAGTTTACTGCATATTCTCTACTGRAAAAAAAAGAGTCTGCTAAAAATCTTAATGGGAATTATTAGTGTTACATAATTTAATCGGTCTGTTTCTAGAACAGGACTCAGGTTCAAGCCCWAGTTTCCCCAGGTACACGTAGGCAGCCGCCTCTTTCTCCCAGACTCTGCCCTTGCAGCTAAAATCCAGCCAGGGGTGGGAGGCAGAAGGCCCCGGCCCCGGTTCCTCTGCACCCTGGCACCCCAGAGCAACGACGTCCAGCCCTGCTGTAAATTCACACTACATCCACTTACTACCACATATTCACTGGGGTCAGGTGCTCCCTGAATTTACAGAAGGTGTGAAAAATGAGAGAGAAGCAGTTCTTCAAAAGCAGCACCAAAAYGAGGGCAAGTACCCAAATACTGCTTTCCATGCAAAACAACAATGACTTTGGTTAGTTCTCACAGCTTTGGCTGCTCTCGTATTTATAGAAAGTCAAAATCCATTACATTAAATGACAAAAATACCCATTTCCCTCATTCCCAATCAAGCGGTTCACAATTTCCTATAGTTCTTATGGTGTCAAGGCTTTCCACATGGCTTCAGTTTGCTGCTCTGCAGCAGATTCCTTCGAGTAGTCGAGACTATTCCCATTCCACATGCCAATGCCCCGCAAACCTCGCTTCTTGGCGTAGGCTGCTTTTAAGGAGATGCTGCGGGGGTCGTCGTACCACACCTGGTGGAAGTGACCGAGAGAGTCCTGGGGAGAAAAAAAAAATCACATTTAGACACTCGGGTCAGCATCTACCTGTACAAATAAACATGCTACCTAAGAGCTCATCGAGTTTTGATTACGCTTTCTATTGAATGCAGTGCAAAGTACAATTAAAATCTCAGCTATTCAAACTATATAAATGTATTAAAAATTAAGAGTCAAATACTTAAATACCTGGCATCTGTTTATTTTTAGGATTTCCGATTTTAAGTTTAAGGATTTATTTTTTAATAGCATGCCTGACATCTTGGGCTGTATCTAACCAAATGGCAAATTTAGCTGGAGTTTAAGGGTTTTCTCATGGTATATCTCCTGTCAAGAAAGCTGAGTAGCAGTGGAAAAAAAATCATTACCCTCAGTATTACTCTTATTTTATTTTTAAAATATTTTTAGTTTCTAATCTTTAAATGTTCAGATTTTACTTTTTATTTTCATGTTACTCTTATTGTTCCTAGTAGTGCACAATCATTGAACATTTAGTCTTTTCAAACTAAAAAATTCAAGATACACAATCCAGCCAACTTTTGCTATGTGAAAAAAGCTAAGTGGAAAACTCTACAGAAGAATCTAAGCCTGAAGGTTTTATAATCAAAGAGCTCCTGTTCATGAAGCACAAGAGCCCACGCGCGTCCACAGCCTGCACAGTGTCTTACACTGAGATCTTACCTTGTATTCGTAAAACGGAGACTTCTGCAGCTCATCCCACAGGATTCCCGACGTGGAGCCATTGGCCGCCTTCATTATTGCTCCATAGGGAACCTGGCGCCCTGCAGCATCGCTGCACGGAGCCCCGCGGAAAGGGACTTTGGAAAGGGAACAAACATGTTCCTGAGAAACAAAGCAAACATGGGAGAGAAGAGTTTCACATTGCCTACGTTTACTGAGCTCCAGAGCAGCAGCACAGCTCTGTCCTGTGGCAAGCAAGTGACAGGCTTCACAGAAAGGAAACCAGCCCTTTGGATAATGCCCCAGCTCTGTAACCACTGGCAGGACAGTGGGAAAATTTAGGAATCGGCGCTGTAATTCTGAAGGATTCAGTGCAGGACCTTATTTAACTTACACCATCTCCTGTCTTTTCCTCTTTCACCTCTAATTCACTCCCACATGTTTCACAAGTATAACGATGTTGGAGACTCGCAATTTACCCACAAACTGCAATACTTTAACAGACATAGCTTTGCTATTTGTTGCATTTAGGCTTTAAGCAGTCAGCCTATTAAGGCAGGTGCAAGTGTGAATAGTTGCCCTTGAACATCATCTCTTTTCATACAGATAGCACATGTATTTCCTTAATTAAATCCTTGATTAATCTTCAGGTATCATAGGCTTCAGGTTGCCTAGGAATAGATAAAACGCTTTGTTTGGTAACACATTCTCATCAATTATCTGCCAAGCAAAGGCTACCTCATGTCCCAGTTATTACTCATCAAAACACTAATATTTTGTATTTCTTAATCTAAATACAAGGTCACTAAAATCCAGCTGGCTCTTTCCAAGGAAACAGAGATTAACAATACAATTGCAGGTGAACGATCTTTATCTTACCTTAGATAAGTTTAGGCAGATGTAATCATAGCCATACCAGGGAACACCCATCACAAGCTTCTTGGGATCAATGCCCATAGTAATGTATTCTTCATAGCCTAGTTTTGAAGAAAATAAAAATGAAGGTGCATTATTGTCCTCTCCCATTCTTCTTATGTTTTATATTCTTACAACTAATCTCTAGCCAGAGCCCTCATACGAATTGCATGAGCSCTGAGCGGAAGCCAAGGTCTTTCCGCCCACCTCTCTTCAGGAGCAGTTGTTCTAATTGCTCACACTTACAATGAGTTGCCCACAGCRGCATTCTCAGCGCTGCTGAAGAGCTGTAACACACTTCTGATCATCTGAACTGTCACCACTTGCTACTGCTCAGCACTTAATAGAGAGCCCTGGGTCGAGCAGCCCTCATTCCCACTTGTCTGTACCGGGACACTACCGTGTGCAKCTGCGTGAGGAAACAAATCAGGGAAATGACCCAAAGTTAAAATAACCCCTTTTTCTTCTTGTTATTTTTAAACCTTATCAGGTCCCAAATGCAACTCGCATTACACCTGCATGAGCAGCTGTGGCAGCAGAAGCAGAAAGGGACGGGAACACACCAGGCAGCACAGACACTGCTTAAGCCTGCAGTGCTGCCCCAGGGAAGGTCTCTTAAGCTGCAGCCTCAGGGGAGCGGGCGCTGCCAGGCAGACGTGGCCGGTTCTCTGCGAGCCCAGGCGGACAGCCCAGCCTGGCGGCCTTCTGCCATCGCAGAAGGGTTCTTCACAACGGGGGGCTAGACACTTACTGACAGCAAACAMCACACAACTGCCGAAGGCCTAGCCATAACGTCCTAAGAATCTGATTTACTATTTTCGTATTATGTCCCAACACCTGCTTGTGTCTCCTAGAAAGCACTAACCCAATCAATAGTGTCTTTTAAGAATGAAAGACGATTTAACAAATGTACACGTTCCAGCTTTTAGGGAGGAGGCGCGTGCTCACCAATGAGAGTCTGGAGATAAGGAGCGTTGGCCTTGGCGACGCAGTCGCTCCAGATCTGGCTCTGCTCGTCATACGACATCACAAATAAGAAATCACAGGCATCCGCAATGGCAGTGTAGTTGTAGCACCTTCTGTCTATGCAGGCCGGGGACCAGGCCACATCGAACGTTACCTGGAGGAAAAATACTCACATCACTACTGCCTGTGGTAAGCGGCAGCCTTTCGTCTCCTGTCTAAAAAACTTAAACGTTTWAGGACATTATTTCCAAAATGTTGCACATTGTCTAACACGTCAATACCCGTTAACTGTAAGAGAACCTCATCAGAAGATAAAATAAACATCAGCTCATAAACACACAAGGGGGTATCACAGTATCTACTGATGTCAGTGGAACCCCCACTTCGGTTTAAATTCATACAGCTGAAGAGAGTAGTTCTTAGGAATGGATATCACAGCTAACGCTCGGAATTAGCCAGTCACGACAATATCATGCTTTAGCTCTGCATAAAGAGGGTCACATTCATACGTTAAGCAGCATTTTCAAAACTTGCTGCATTTTGTGAAGTTAAATGTGACGTTTGTGTGAAGTACATTACCTGCGATCCTGGAATTTCTCTGTGAAAAGCCTCGGTAGTTTCTCTAACAAGCGCCGTTAATGCGTAATACTCAGGGGAGGTTTCATTAACTTCCTGCTCTATGTCTATATTAATTCCGTCCATATACTGTTTCTTGGCGAGATCCACTTGTTGGGATATCCAGGCTGCTCGTTTAGCGGGATCAACCATTTCCGTGAGAGATACATCACCTAAGCAAAGAGGTCTTCAGGAGTTAGAATGCAATGGCACTGCCACTACAATACTGCCAGCAGTACTGCCCGGGAAAGCTTTGCCTTTAGCAAATCAGCTAACATCACCAGCAGACAAAATCCCTACACCTGTGCTGGCATCTCCTTCATCCTCGTGCCTATGGAAAATACACAGAAGTCTTCCCCACCCACGTGATTTTGAAAACTGACATCAGAAAACAGTGCTGTTTAAAATGAAGATCCTTTGGGAGTTTGCCTACAATTTTCTTTCTCCATTTCTGCTTAATACTCTTTTATTTGTTGTAAACTGCCTTTCGTGAAGATAATTTACCTCCAATATCTCCACAGAGCCACAGGGATTGTGCCTTAGTGCCCTGASAACCCTTTTTCATTCAAGTGTTATAGCTTTCCACCTTGTTCCCCTTTCTGTGCCTCAGCAGACTGAAGCCAGCACAGACACAMGATTATTCAGACATGCGATTACAGGGCAAGCAGTCACGGTGGACTTTGTCTTTCCAATCAATGTCTGGACCCACACCACGTTCCTAAGTACTCATGTTTTAAAACTCAATCATTTCCTACTGTTAAGTGTTCCTGATTTGGGTGAAAAACATTCCAAATCATGTGCATCCCTTTGGCATTTTCCTGTACAAGCGTTTGTGCCTCTCGCTTGCTCCCTATTCTCCTGCAGCCGCAGTGCCCATCGGAGGAGGCCCTGCACTTAGGTGCACACGTGGTGCTGCTACCAGGCAGGCGCCACAGACACTGCTGCTKTAGCACTCCGCACAGCAGCGCACGTACAGCGTCAAGGTATCACAGTCCCACGTGCACCGTCCTCTGGCAAGAATCCTCTTACTGATTTTTAATACTTCGTAACCTGCTGATTATAACTGTAGGTCGTCTCAGCCCATCGCACAAGTTGCCGCTTCTCGGGCGCACCTTTGAGCACGACGCGGGCGCCGCTGGCGTGCGCGTGGCACACGAGCTCCGCGTCGTAGCGCCCGAAGGCGGCCACGGTCGTCACCTTGGACCACTCGTAGGATTCCCAGGCCTTCTTCCCCACGTCGAACACGAAGACCTGGCGGGGCAGTGAGACGCAGACACCTGGGTCACGAGGGCACCCTGCTCCACGGCGCATTGCTCCAGCGCGCTCCCGTTCCACGCTCTCCGTGGGAGGCTGCGGAGCTTCCTCGTGTTTCGGGATCCCGTGGGAGGCTGCGGAGCTTCCTCGTGTTTCAGGATCCCGGCTCCTCTGCCCCCTGCCCCCCAACTCCGTGCCCAGGGCGCCGCAGGACGCGGCTGCGCGGCCGGGGCCCCGGGCAATGCAGGAGGGCAGCGCGTCCCGGCCAGCCCCATAGCCGCGCTGCGCTGCTCA